CCCCCTGCTTCTTGTGGTCCTAGTAGTAAGGCCAGAAACTACTAGTAGCGCCCAGCCTTCAAGTGGAACCGACGGTAAAATTACCAGGTAAAACCTTAGAAACAGGTGTTAACACACACACATCACCTTCACTCCCACTTCTATCCACCCCATCCAGAACCCCATCTCTTCATCCCCCACAACAGTTTGGGGACGCCAACGCGGACACCTCATCCTCTACTGCGCCTCATCCCCGACACGAGAGGCCGTCGGAACTTCGCGCCATCACGTCAGCGGGTCAGTGGTCCCGAGAGGTGGCGGCGAGTCAGCTGCACGTGGCCTTGGCCGAGATCTGGGGCGTTCAGGCCACTCCAGTGGCTCGGATGGCTACGCCAGCTGGAGTGTTTTCCGGATGCGAAATGGTGAGGTAGGTGATTTTGTCGCGCGTGTGGGGATTTGTCCGCAGACTCTCCGTGGATCGGACCTGCATGTTTCGCAAGAAGTCGATCTAGCCGAGTGCCAGCGGTTCGCACTCTGTGGATTTGAGAGATGAGAGATGTTTATCAACGAATCAACAGTCTACCAGTGCTGAACCGCTGGTGTCATCGTGGGGATCGTGTTTTTTTTGGTTTTTGTGCGGTCAAATTCACCCGAATGTTTGGCACCCCTAGGCGCTACGCAGGAGTTTCTGTACTTTGTTTTGTAAAACAACCCTGCAAGTTTCTAGAAGATACTCTACTCCATGTAGAAATAGGATTATATAATTGACACTTTTTTGAGGCTAGTTGTCAAATCTTCTAAGCACAGAATGAACAAATTCTACACAATGGCACAGGTTCTGTCCATGTGTGTATTTGATTGTATTTGGCAAAGTATGGAAAGCATGAGCCTATTGACATCACATGTCATTCCTTGCAGAGAATGTTTGTTGCAGAACCAGTTGTTTACATTGGACTGGGATCAATGGCATCCAACCTGCTTCCTTGGACCAACATGTCCAAGTCGCATGTCACATCCTCAAACATCCTCAATAACAGAACCTTTGACATGGCACAAGTAAAACTGAAGGTGAGATCCTGTGGATCAAAGATTCCAATCACATGGACTAAGTGGGTGGTTGACCCGAGATATTTCTTGTTTATATCCCTTCATCCCTTTTTGTTTGAGGAAGTGATGAAAGTGCTGAGCCTCAACTTCCACGATGCTGGAAGCCTCAGTGCTTGACCCCACCACACGCCAAATTATCTGAAGGCCTGAAGGGAAAACTCCCCACATTCAGACTGGACGTTGCCATGATTTACCAACCAAAATGCTGAGGCCTCCCAGCAGCCAGCATGGAAGGAAACTACTTTCTGGTACTTTAAGAACTTAAGCGCTTTCTTTGTCTTTAGTAGCTCACGGAGCCACTCCCAACAGAGAGTCTAAGAGGTCGACCATGCGCGTCGGAAATGAACACCAGAGATTCTCTCCCACGCGGTGCTGCAGGTTTCTACGGCACTATTACTTGCGGAGCAGAAGAAGCATGAAGAAGCACTTCCCACACAGTGTCGTACAAATATATAATGCTGGACCACCCAAGATGTGATGGCTCCAAGTTTTGGATATCCAGCTTTGCTTGAACCTGGAAAGCTCCAGTCCCTGCATTGGGACGAATAGTAGGGTCGTCACAACTGCGCCAGTAAAGTCAAGAGGACTGGGGGATGTGAATCTTGCTCTGGTTCTTTGCTTTGCTTCTTGACTTGTTTTTGCTCAGGGATTGCCAGACTCAAATCCAACCCAAGTAGTAACGCTCGAATCCACCCCATGATGCATTCTATTTTCTGCTTCCAGACTGAAAACAAGTCCGAATGAAGCATGAAGGCTAGATGATATCTGCAGACATTTGGGGAATCACCTACTAATGGTTCAGCCCGTGATCCACCAGGAAACCTTAACCATTAAGCATGGGCGAACCAGCTACCGCCCGATGAGGCCAGCGGCGGTGAAGATGTCTACATCGACATCCGCGCCAAGCAGAAGCCCGAGCGGACCAACGAAGCCGGGCAACCTCAGCGCCATGGACGTTGCATATAGGAAGCATATATGGACCTGGTTTTGTGATAGTTTTTGCGGACCAGGTGATTATTCTATTTTCCCGAACTAGGTAAATCCCCCTTGTGGTGAAGAGTGTTTTTGTATTTTTTGCGGGTTCCTGGACAGCAAATCCAAGTGCTGGTCACAGGGCGCCGGAGAGTGGGTCCATGTGTTCCTCACCACTGCGTTTGTGGTGACTACACCGGCTGTGAGTCGAAACTTGGATCCCGGAACTCACCCTGGTAGGTCGACCATGTGTGGTAAGCCTCTTCCGTTCATGTTCGCTGGTCAACGCGGTCAACGCGGGGAGTCTGGTGCCATGACCCACAGGCATAATATGACACGTTCGCTACAGGGCTGGCACGGACTCCTCCCAACTCATTTGGTGGCAGAGATGGATTGAACATGCATGAACATGCATCTATGCAGAATGTTGCTTTCTATTCCGCTTTGCTGCTTGGCAGCTTGGCATTCACGGCGATCGCTTCGTTTCGTCTTGTTTGGTACCCGCAGATCCTTTGGGGGTGGCCTTATAAGACTCGGGTCCTTTGTCCGATGCCTCAGGTCCTGCAAAGTTGTTGTCAGCGCACTGCCGCGCTCCTGGCTCAGCAGGGATCCCCAGGGAGAAAGGGCCAAAGGGCACGCCAGGGCTGTTGGGTTGCGATCTTTTGGCGACCCAGATAAAGGAGGACAGAGAACCATTTGTTCTCCAAGCAAGTCAATATCATGAAACCACCACACGAAGCATACTGTGAAGCAGGTGTAGAGGTGGGTGTCCAACTTCCGGTTAGTTAGATCTATGGAAGCACGGGTGACCTGCAAACATATTGGATTGAGATTCCACTGGTTTAATGCTATGAACTAGACATGACAGGACTTTATCTATTACTACAGTATATATATATGTCTTTGTTTTTTCATGTTGCTGCTGTTTTTTGTTTGTGTCTTGTTTATTGTTGCTGCTGAGTTTCTGGTACATGCTTTGTTTGTTTTGGCACATCCTGGCCAATTTCTTACTTGGAGGCTTCGCAGGGCAAAGTTAATGTAGGTGGGTGTGATGGATGGATTTCAAGATCGTTTAAGTTTGATTGCTTTTGGGAGGTAGATGTTGCATTTACTTGGTATCTGCAAGAGTCATGAAAGGTGTACGGATGTGTATCTCAGATTTGACCAGTTTCCTGAGTGATCAGCATCATCATTTCGTGATCCGCTGATGCAGCCTGCGGGCATGGGGCGATGAGCTTAGGGCCTCCAAGAGGTTCACAACTTGGAGGGTATGTTCCAAAGTACATCGATTATCCTGGCACCCCCCACCTGGTGGGGTAGACCCCATCTAGTGAGGCATTGCC